GCGGGAGCAGGAAGGGTGGTACAAGCTCTGGGGGCCTCTAGATGCAGGGAGCTTCATCGGTTAAGGGTGAATCTGCCCTTTCTGAAGGCCTGCGCCTCTGGGGGATCTGCATGACTGCACCTGACAAAGGCTAAGCGCACATGTGCGTGCGGAAGCCTCTGGGCCTCGGTGTCCGCAGACTGGGCGGGACTGACGGGAAAGAGAAAGGGCTCTGTCCTTTAGGCTCCACAGCGCCCCTTCCTCTTCCACAGGCTTCTCTCCCTCTCCTCCAGCTCCCACCTGAGCCATGTTTTTCACCTGTGGCCCAAACGAGGCTATGGTAGTCTCGGGTAAGTCCTGCCCTCTTCTCCGCCGCAGAGCCCCTTCCTCTTCTACCTTCTCCTGGTGCTGTCTCATACCCCGCCCCCATGGCAGCGAGCCACACACTTGTGTTTCCTAGCTGCTACCCTCTGCTACCCAGAGTGCCCTCATACCAGCTCTGTGTTGGCCACTGCAGCTCGCTGCCCCTCACCTTGCAGGTTTCTGCCGGAGCCCCCCAGTCATGGTGGCTGGAGGTCGCGTTTTTGTCCTGCCCTGCATCCAGCAAATCCAGAGGTGGGTAGGAAGAGAACCATGAAAGGGAATCCCCAGTTTCCCCTCTTTTCACTATCCAGTCCCTTCTTTTTCTCTAGGATCTCTCTCAACACACTGACCCTCAATGTCAAGAGTGAAAAGGTTTACACTCGCCACGGGGTCCCCATCTCAGTCACTGGCATTGCCCAGGTGAGGCGGTCAGAGGCTTTCCCGTGAAGCGCACTGCCCATCACCTGCTCTCTTCCCAGACAGTAAGAATCTTCTGGCCTCGGCCTTCCCAACCTCTGCCTGCAGAGAAATTTCTCTCATAGTCTCACCTTCTCCAGGGACATCCCCTACCCCCAAGACACTTGATGTCTCCTCCCTTCTCTGTCTCTTAAACCTCCAGCCACAACCCCCCATCCTACTTTGACTACAGGTGAAAATCCAGGGGCAGAACAAGGAGATGCTGGCAGCCGCCTGCCAGATGTTCCTGGGGAAGACAGAGGCAGAGATTGCCCACATTGCCCTGGAGACGCTGGAGGGCCACCAGAGGGCTATCATGGCCCACATGACAGTGGAGGTGAGCCTGGGGTCAGGGGAGGGTCTGGACGGAATGCCAGATAATTGTATTTCCCCTCAGCCTGAGGACAGAGCTAGTCTGTGGGAGCCAGAGGATCAGAGCTCAAGTTCCTCCTTCCCACCGTCTATTATCCTAGGAAATATATAAAGACAGGCAGAAATTCTCAGAGCAAGTTTTCAAAGTAGCCTCCTCAGACCTGGTCAACATGGGGATCAGTGTGGTCAGCTACACCCTGAAGGACATTCATGACGATCAGGTAAACCCAGGCAGTTGGCCTCTCTCTCAGCTCCCCACTCCACCTCTCACTGCACGCCTCCTGGAGGATACCGATCCGCCTCTCCCCCACAGGACTACTTGCACTCCTTGGGGAAAGCTCGGACAGCTCAGGTCCAGAAGGATGCTCGGATTGGGGAAGCAGAGGCCAAGAGAGATGCCGGGATCCGTGTGAGAGAGACAGGGGGTCACTTGGACATCATGGGGTACCTGTGGGAAAGGGAACGGGGGGGGGCGGATCTCAGTGGGGTGGGACTCGTGGAGCTGGGTTGGCAGAGGAAATAGATGAGGCCAGGGGAACCTGTGGGGAGCAGGCACCCTGCAGCCTTCCTCTTCCTACTCTGATGTTACCTGACCTTCTCCTTGGACAGGAGGCCAAAGCCAAGCAGGAAAAGGTATCTGCACAGTACTTGAGTGAGATAGAGATGGCCAAGGCCCAGAGGGACTACGAGCTGAAGAAGGCTGCGTATGACATTGAGGTCAACACCCGCCGTGCCCAGGCAGACCTGGCCTATCAGCTTCAGGTCAGAGCTACTCCGCTGGACTTTGCCCTCCTCCTATCCCTCTAGGACCCTACTCTCAGGCCACTGCTCTTTCTCATGGTCTGACTCTGATCCCCTTATTCTGGCTCTTCATTTTTGACCCAACTATTCCAAAAGGGGAGATTTCAAGAACTAAATCCCACTCAAGTCAAAGAAAAGAAAAGGCTGACAAGGGAGGTCATCCATCGGATTGGTCATGTACTTGGGGGCAGGCTATACAGGGCACCCAAATGGAGGTGAACCAAAGCCAAGATCCAGCCCGTGTTCATTTGCAAGACTGGGCATTCTGGCCTGGGTTTCTTGGTCACCCAGAGAAAGATGTGCCTTTTCCTAATCTGCACAGGGCACTGCATGGGCTAGCAGGAACCCTAGTAATCCAAGGTCTGAGGAAGGAAAATGTGGACTTGGCATCCGACCCTGGAAAGTGAGACATGAGCAACCTTTGCCGTGACGGGGGTGGTCCCTCGTTATTTGTAGATTCTGTGTTTGAGAATTTCCCCACTTGCTAAAACTTATTAGTAACTCTTAGATCAGTGGCACTTATTGAGGTATCTGCAGGCAAGCACAGAATGAGGAACAAGTTGAGTTACCGGATACAGTTTCCAGTTGAGGTTGAACAAGCTGTAGTCTAACCTGTAGTCTTGTTTCAGCCCTCCCACTGAAACAGTGCCAGTTTCATAGTATATTTAATTGCCATATAGTTTTTATTTGTATGCCTTTTTTCTTCTTGATCATTTCGTTCTTTAAGATCATTCCTAGCATTGCACTAAAGGGCTGGCTGGTGTGCCTCGGTGGGTGTGATGCACCTTGTGGAGCGAGTGTGTTGCTGAGCTCACTCAGTCATGACCTAAATAGTGCTCTTAGCTATGAGTTCAGTGTCATTGAGTCGGCACTGCATATTACACAAGGTGTATACACAGAAACACACATGAAATGGGGGTATAGAGTGTTCTGTGGGTGAACATGTGGCGGGAGGCTCACAGGAACTGACCCTGTATTTCCCGCAGGAATCAAACAAGTGTTGCAAAGTCACTGTCCACTACTGTTACCGAACAGAACTAGCACAAACACTGGGGGTCAGCTGCATATGGGCTCTCTACCCAAAGGACAGCAATATTTAAAAGTTGTTCTTGTCAGGAGTCGGTGCAGGCTGCGTACATGGGGTGCACACTTCTTTAGTCTTGATGCGGAGTCCTGGTGTCTTGGCAGGTCATTGAGGGCGGTTGGCGCCGTGCTGCTCAGCGTGGTCTTCCTGCCAGGGAGCCCGCAGGCTCCAGCCAACGTAACTGAACCAGAATCTGCAACTTAACACGATCGTTAGGTGATCGCGTGCACATCAGAGCTGGAATGGTGTGGGTAGGACCTAAACAAGGCTTTTCTGGTGTTCAGTGGAAGGACTGGACTGCTCTGCACTTTGTTCCAGTTTGGTCAGTTCCTCATTTTGTGCCAAGCTCTGTGCTAGGTAATTGGAAAAGAGGATTCATTTACCAAAGACATATTAAGTGCCTACGCTGCACCAGACATTGTTTTGGAGGGGGAGATATAAGTAAGAATGAGACAAAGGATTCCTGTCCTGGTGGCACTCACGGAATAACAGCTAATGCAAGTAAAAAACCTTTATAGGTGCTAATTACCGTGTTTAAGTGCTATGAACAGGGTGATGTGAGAAGCGGAGGGAGCACGCTGTCAGTTCAGGGGGTGTCAGAGAAAGCTGCTGTGAGGAGTCGACACAGGAATAAAAGCTGAAGATGAGAAGGTGCATGGTGCATGACTGCCTGGGCTGTGATGAGCCCTCGAAATGTGGTTAGTGTGGCTGAGGAACTGAGTTTTCAACTTTATTTGATCTTAATTGATTTACATTTCGATAACCACATGTGGCTAGTGTGAGGCCGCAGGTATAAAGGCCCCAGGTAGGAGGAGCTTGGCGTGTCCCAGGAACAAAAAAGAGGTTTCTGATCTGTTGTGGCTGGTGCACTGTGAGCAAGGAGAGGCAGCAGGGCAGGACACACAGGCTCAGGGTCGTGTGGAGACTCAGAGGAGAATGGGAAACGATGGGAGAACCTAAGACCTCATTATACCTGCCAGGTAGCGGAGAGGGCAAAAATGATGGCAAGAACAGGGACAGAAGGGACAGAAACAGCATTATTTTGGAAATTGGAAAGCCATAATAGTTGACTAAGAAAATCTGAGACAGCTGATCCCAAAATGGCAGAGGGGAACAAAATGGAATGATCTGAGGCTCAGAGCCAGCAGCACCAGTGACCTCTGGCTCTGTGATGAAGACTGCCAAAATGAAGAGAAACAGGTCAAAAGTGTTTCTCCATCACATGCTTCTCTGACCCCTGTGGTAATGGTCTCTTAGGGGCCCCAGTGGGCTTCTGAAGGTTTATGAGTAAGCCAGAAGATGTGACCGAGGGCCAGCCAGCACAGGTGAGCACCGGGGGACATGAAGTGACTGTGTACCTATGAATGCCGATGGCCTCCTCAAGCCCCTTGCCCACTCAGCATCCAGAGCTCCTCCTTCCAAAGAAGACATCAGAAGACCGCTCTGGAGATGGCGGTGTCCCATCTCCCATCTGAGAGACTGGGAGTCTCAGGATCAGGGGACCTGCCCAGATCACTCTAGAGGGAAGCTCAAGGTCAGTTAAGCTTCCTTTCAGCATTTTAGACCTTTTTAAAAATAGGGGGACAGGCCAGAGGGGCAGGGAATGAGAGGATTCACTAGAGACAGCATGGGGAGCAGAACAGGCAAACTGACTGAAATACACTGCTGAGGGGAGCAGTGGGCGAGGCAGCAGAGAGCTGCTGCGCCATGTGTGCCAGATTCCTGGGTGGGGGTTGAACTCCCCCACTGCAGTGGCTGCAGATAGCTTCATAGTACTATGCTTTAACTCACTGTGCCACCAGGGAAAGCCCCATTTTAGACCTTTTTGCCTAGCAGACAACCCAGGATTTCCTAATATAAGAGGGAATCCTTCAACATGGAGTTAAAGATCAAAACCACTAACATAGCAAGCAATTCAAAGGATACCTACTCTTCAAAGATAAGAGCTTTGAAAAAGTAATATCCTCAGTGAGTTAAAAGAATTCACATACAGGGAATCAGGATATAGGATAGAAAACAAAGTACTCTTCGAAATTAATAAGCTGGCAGAAAGAAAGAAAAAGATCACTTTGGAAGAGAAATTTTAAGACATTTCCCAGAAAATAGAGCAAAGCAGATAGAAACAAATAAGATTTAGAGGCCTTTCCAGGAGACCTAGCATAACAAAGAAAATGAGAAGAAGTTAACTAAAAGTAAGTAAAAAACACTTATCTGTTCTGAAGGTGTCCCTCAAGTGCCCAACATGATGAATGAAAAACATCTATCTTGAAATATCACCAAACACTGAGGACACACAGGACACAACACTGAGGAAAAGAAAAGATCTGAAAGCTTTCACCGAGAAGAATATCTTATAGCAAAGGGGCAGGCATCAAAGCAACCAGGTTTCTTAAGAAACTGGAAAATTAATTCTAATGTAGTAAGTGGCTCACAGCCTAAGTGTCATTCAAACAGAAAGGCAGAATAAAGACCTCAGAGAGGTAAGAGCTCAGAAATGTTATTTCTTAGTTTTCAGAGACTAACCCCTGCAGTGTAGGTTTGGAAGATGGGTCTCAAGAAAAGAGCTCGTGGATGCCCACAGGCAAGGTCACCCTACAAACTGGGGTAGACAGCTGCTAGACCAGTCTGGAACTGATTTGACATTTCGGTGTCAAGACAGCACCGTGTCACATCCCAGCTCCGTGCCCTGGAGAGCCGATGGAGCCAGCTGGGCAGCGTCACCCTCTCCGTGCCCACGAGACTCACAGGCAGCGAATGGGCCAGAGGAGGAGACAAGAAAGGGGTGTGTCCTCCCCAACCTCTCCTCACCAGCATCTTGGCAAGAGCCTCTGGTAATTGTATTCTTCCTACAAGGAATCAGAAGTGCAGTCTGCCTAAATAAAGGAGATCCTAGACATGCCTTTTCTTGGCCATGCTTAAGGAATCCCGGGAAGGACACACGAGGAGGTGATCACAGTGATTGCTTCTGGGAAGGGAACTAGGTTGGAGAGGAAACAGGTGTCTTTTTTCTTTCAAAGTTTCACTATAATAGAAAATAAAAGTTACATGTTCCTAACCCCGCGACAAAAAAAGTCAGGAGGAGGGGTCAGCGGTCTGAACTTGGCGGCTGCAGTGTGGGGGTCTCGTGCTCGGTAACCATGGCTGTGCAGTGAATTTGAGCAAGTGAATTTGGAAGAGGATCCCGTGCACTAGTGGCCGCTGGGCGCTATAGGGAGATGGGGTGGACGAATACGGGCTGAGAAACTGCACCTAGCGTGAGCGAGACCGGGTCCCAGTCCTACCAGGAGGACGCTGAGGCTCCCTGGGATAACGTGGACGCTGACTGTGAGCGGGATCTATGCCATGCCTAGCATCCACCCCGGGAAATGGACTTCAGCGCCCTCACCCCCTTTTCCCCACTTCTTTCTTGTACCCTACCCTGGCACCCTGGGCCTCGATTCTGCCTGGCTCCGGGGTGCTTGCTCTTCAGCTCTGAGTGTTCCCTCTCCCCAGGTGGCCAAGACGAAGCAGCAGATCGAGGAACAGCGGGTACAGGTGCAGGTGGTGGAGCGAGCCCAGCAGGTGGCGGTGCAGGAGCAGGAGATCGCCCGCAGGGAGAAGGAGCTGGAGGCCCGAGTTCGGAAGCCGGCGGAAGCCGAACGCTATAAGCTGGAGCGCCTAGCGGAGGCGGAGAAGTAGGTACCCCTTCCAGCTCCCCTCTGGCCCTTCACCAAGTGGGCACCCTACCTGGATTCCTATGGAACGCTTGTTGCACCCAGCGCGGGGCCTTTCTCCCGGGAGCAGGGGCCCCTCCGCAACCCTCCCTCCACTTCTCTTTTTTGCTCAGGTCTCAGCTGATAATGCAGGCTGAGGCAGAAGCCGAGTCTGTGCGGGTGAGTTTGGAGGGGCTCCTGCGGGCTTATTGAGGGGAGGTTTTTTTTTTTGTTTTTGCTTGAACTGGGGTTTCTGGTCCCTGCCATCAGTAGCGTGAGTGTCCTGTACCCTCCCCAGATGCGCGGAGAGGCGGAGGCCTTTGCCATAGGGGCCCGAGCCCGGGCAGAGGCCGAGCAGATGGCCAAGAAGGCAGAAGCGTTCCAGATGTACCAGGAGGCTGCTCAGCTGGACATGCTGCTGGAGAAGCTGCCCCAGGTCTGGAGGGGTGTGGACACCAGGAGAGGAGGGCCAGAACTGGGGATAAGGCACCCAGGCAATGAAGTGCTTGCGGAGAATCAAGCATGAGACCATACATTAGTGGAGGGAATGCTAAACCAGTGGTCAAAATGAAGAGGAACAACCAGTAGGACAAGGGTCTCAAGTCCCTGGGTAAGGCTGTAGTGGAGGGTATGGTCAGACCCAAAGCGCTGAGTGGGCCTCTCACCTACCAGGTGGCAGAGGAGATCAGCGGTCCTTTGACCTCAGCCAACAAGATTACACTGGTGTCCAGTGGAAGCGGGGCCGTGGGAGCAGCCAAAGTGACTGGGGAAGTGCTGGACATCCTGACCCGCCTGCCAGAGAGTGTAGAGAGACTCACGGGCATCAGCATCTCCCAGGTGAGGCTCGTGGGCGTGGCACTGGGAGCACTTCCGCACCCCTGTGGCATGGGAACAGCACCTACCTGGACCCATGCCCGGCAGCCCGTAGGCCTCCGAGGAGGCTGAGTTGCTTCCTGTGTGCCACAGCATTAAGCTACACAGATGGGTAACAAACTATCCTTGGGATACAGTATTTTACAAAGACTCACTTCCCCTGTGCCACATATCCAAAATTCAGACCCACCGCATTCCAGAGCCCATGCTCCTAGCCACACTGGCCCAAGGAACTAGTTGCAACTTGTTGAAAGTTCCAAGATCTGTCATTGCCTGTTTTGATGCCTGTTTATTCCAGCAGAGGTCAGAGATCAGGGTCTAGAACCAGATTGTTCTGGTATGAATCTTGGCTTCCATGCGTGTGACCTCAGACAAATTAGCAACTTCTCTGAACCTACTTCCTCACCTTAAAATCAGGTTTGTAGTGAAGGATCCTGTTGAGTGGTTGAAGGGGGTAAATGAGTGAACATTAGCAAAGTTGAGAATGAGTGCCTGGCACTTAGTAGCACTAATGAGAATGGTTAGTCAAAAATGTATGTATAGATAAAACACTGGACCATACCAGTAACTTTCAAGCTGGATTCCTTGCGTCCTCCTGGAGGAAGATTGGGTGCAGAAGAGTGATGGCAAGCAGGCTCTGGCCCCTCTACCTTCAGTGCTGTTATGGGCCCTAATGACTGGCCAAAGAGGGTAACGTAGAGTTCAGAAACAACTAGATGACTCCTGGGATGGCATGTGCTCCCTGCAGCCCCTGTCCAGTTGGCCTGGGAGAGCAGGGTACCTGGTTCCCAAGGTCACACACTGTTCTTTTTGCCAGGTAAACCACAAGCCTTTGCGAACAGCCTGAATGCTGAAGTGTCAACGCCTGGATGGTCTTCATTGCATGCACTTCCACTGGCTTCCCTGAGCATGACCTTTGACAGTGGGGTTGCACCGTTCCTTTCCCCAGTCTCCTTGCCAAACAGCTTGTGCCTTGCCGGGAAGGGATTACTCCCCTTCTAAACCCCATGCCAAGACTGCCAGTTCCCTCCATTCCCCCCCCAAGTCCAGGCCAGCCTCCACTTGTACCCACCCCCAACTTATTTAACCTCCTAGTTAAAATAGACTGAGCCTGATGTCTGGAATTCTTTCCTGGCCAAGACTGATGGATGGCCTGGAGGTTTTCATCTTTGTCCAACTGCTGTTAAGAGCTAGTACTTCAAAAACAATTTAATAAAGCATTCAAACTCAGCACTACATGTAGCTTGCTCCCTTGCCTTCAACAGGCTTTTTAGAAAGGGAGAAAGCTGTTACTGTACACTGTTGAGTTGAAAATAATCCCTTCCCAAAGCTGGTTCTAGTCAGGAAAGCATGCTGAAATGGAATGTTGAAAATTGCATTCTCCTCTAGAATTACTGGAAATATGGCCAAGGGAAACTGACTCTTGACTTTGCAGTGCACTTTGAGGCAAGGTATTAGATGGGGCTATTGTCAGTTAGGATGGGTCCAGGAAGTACCATCTCCCACCATCTTTGCTTAGGCTGAGAAAACCCAAGGGACTCCTGAAGACAGCCATCACACCTGTGACCTGGAGGGCTGCTGATCTGCTGTGCTGGGAACGGCCCAGCTGCTCTCAGCCCTGCATTCCTGAGAGCTGGGGCCCAACCTGTTCCTGGTGCAGCACCTTTGGTAGGCCTGGGGATTCGTATCCTTGCAGGTGCCAGGGGGTAAAAGCTGCTGGTCTAGGAACCACTTATGCACTGGTGGACATGTTTTTCACACCCTGTTTTTATTCCCAGATGGTGTATCTATCTGAGCCTGGTACCTACCCCTTAAGCCTGGTACTAGTGGCGACTAGAGAGCCTTGGCTACTAGGGATTCCAGCATGACATGGGCCAAGTAATTATTTGGGATGTCCTTGGGAGCTAGTGGAGAACAATCTGACTGAACCTGACCCCAGGCCTCCAACCGGCGAGCTTTCCCTCAATGAGCACACACCTCATGTCCTTTTTTTCAATTCCCATTTATTTTTGGCTCTTGGGGCAATGTCATCTTTTCAATATGAAAAAAAGCAGCAAGTTCAACACAAAATAGAAAATTGAAGTATAGAATAGGACAAAAAACAAAGGTAGGGAGGAAAAAGCAATAGCTAAAGAGATGAGATGTTGCCAAAGACGGGAGGGTCTCCTGGCCCCTCTCTGCGGGGGCGTTGACTCAGACATGCAGGTGAGTCTACACCCTTCCAATTACGTATATACATACACACAGCAGGGCTGGCCTCTTTTTCTGGGTAAGGATGGGGATAAGAAAGGTCCTTCTGGAAGCCTAGGGGCCAAGCTGGCCTCTTCCTCCTGATCCTTTTCTCCCACCAAGGGGAAAAGAAGGAAACCAATGTGTGAGTGAGGTAAAGTGAGAGTGGGATGAATCCCACCTGACAGTGGAGCAGATTCCTGCTACAGAAACAGCTTGGAGTAGAGCATAAAGGGGAACTGAAAATGCAGATAATACTGTTAACACCTCCCCCATCACTGAGGAGCAGGAAAAATACCTGGAATTAGCAATTCAACAGCCCCCCAACCACCCAGAGCCATCAAGGCTGCCTGGTTTCCCTCCCCATGGCTACCAGGAGGGCTTAGGATGGCGGCCAACTCAGCACATTGCTCTACATGGGATCAGAAGTACCCAGCTTCTGGAAAAATTACCTGGAAAACAAAGGAAAACATAACTGGACAGATGAGAGTGGGCACCAGAAGGAAATGCAGGGCAGATATCTAGATTTCCCAGAGTGGAAAGAGAGAGGAGACATTCAACAAACAACAAGTATTTATTGAGCGCCTATTATGTGCCAGGCACTGTTTCAGACCCCCCCCCAAAGAAAAAAGTAGAGGCAGAAAAAGCAAAATCTGAGAGAGAAAAGGGGTAGTTGAAGAAGGCTGAGGGAACTGAGAAGCCTGAATGACGAGGCGCTGCCTGCCTTAGGCCTCCTCTTCAGCCTCCTCACCGAAATCTTCCTCCTCTTCCGCGGTGGCATCCTGGTACTGCTGGTACTCGGAGACCAGGTCGTTCATGTTGCTCTCAGCCTCGGTGAACTCCATCTCGTCCATGCCCTCACCTGTATACCAGTGGAGAAAGGCCTTCCGGCGGAACATGGCTGTGAACTGCTCCGAGATGCGCTTGAAGAGCTCTTGGATGGCTGTGCTGTTGCCAATGAAGGTAACTGCCATCTTGAGGCCACGGGGCGGGATGTCACAGACGGCGGTCTTGACGTTGTTGGGGATCCATTCCACGAAGTAGCTGCTATTCTTGTTCTGCACATTAAGCATCTGCTCATCTACCTCCTTCATGGACATCCGCCCACGGAAGACAGCAGCCACGGTCAGGTAGCGGCCATGGCGAGGGTCGCAGGCAGCCATCATGTTCTTGGCATCGAAGACTTGCTGGGTGAGTTCAGGCACAGTGAGGGCCCGGTACTGCTGGCTTCCACGGCTGGTCAGAGGAGCAAAGCCAGGCATGAAGAAGTGGAGACGTGGGAAGGGCACCATGTTGACTGCCAGCTTGCGAAGGTCAGCATTAAGCTGGCCAGGGAAGCGGAGGCAGGTGGTGACACCACTCATGGTAGCTGAGACGAGGTGGTTCAGGTCCCCATAGGTTGGTGTGGTCAGCTTGAGGGTGCGGAAGCAGATGTCATAAAGGGCCTCGTTGTCAATGCAGTAGGTCTCGTCAGTGTTCTCTACTAACTGATGGACGGAGAGGGTGGCGTTATAGGGCTCAACCACGGTGTCAGACACTTTTGGTGAAGGCACCACACTGAAGGTGTTCATGATGCGATCAGGATACTCTTCTCGGATCTTGCTGATGAGCAAGGTGCCCATTCCAGAACCCGTGCCACCGCCCAGCGAGTGCGTCAGCTGGAAGCCCTGCAGGCAGTCACAGCTCTCTGCCTCCTTCCGTACAACATCTAGGACCGAGTCCACCAGTTCGGCCCCCTCTGTATAGTGACCCTTTGCCCAGTTGTTGCCTGCCCCAGACTGACCTAGAATGGGGTGAAGAAGTAAGCTAAATTAGTGAACTTCAGAAGATAAGTGCCATTTCTATCCTCCACTACTAAAGAAGTCACCGCTTTGTCTACCCTCCACTGGTGACTTCAGAGCACAGCCTTGTATTGTTAGGGGAAGGATGTCCTAAAAGGACTTTCAGAGCTTCATGGACCCCACCCCTACTCCAGCTTTCTGGACTCCACCTCCTCCTCCAGTGATTGGAAAACTACAACTCCCAGCAGCACCAAGGATAGAACTGTGAGGACCTAAGGGTGGAGCTAATGGGCTACCCTGTAACAATCTCAAATGAACAATGTCCTCTTGCTTTTCCCTTTGCACCCACATAAATTCCACCTGATGGAGTCTATAAATATCTGTGTAACTCACCGAAAACAAAGTTGTCTGGTCTGAAGATCTGGCCAAAAGGACCTGAGCGAACAGAGTCCATGGTTCCAGGTTCTAGATCCACCAAGATAGCACGAGGGACGTATTTGCCACCTACCAGGAAGGAGTGAAAAGTGGCAGGTGAGATAAACTGGGACTGACAAGGGACAGGGAACTCCGGTTCCAGAGGCTGCCACCAGGTGGCAGCAGAGATAGATTTTTGGCCTCGGTTGGAAATCAATGGCCCCAAAGGCAAAGGATGAATTCATTCAAAGGTAATAGGGCCTACTCCCCCAAAACGAGGCTGCAGTCAAGGAGTGACGAAACGGGACCTGCAGTTCCGGCATCTGCCCTCACCTGTGGCTTCATTGTAGTACACGGAGATGCGGTCCAGCTGCAGATCGCTGTCCCCGTGGTAGGTGCCGGTGGGGTCGATGCCATGCTCATCACTGATCACCTCCCAGAACTGCGGGGAGATAAACAAGCCCAACAGCTCAGATGCCGGCCAAGCACGCGTTCGCCCCACAGCCACCATTTTAACGACACAATGAAGGCAGGCCGTATTTCAGAGCCCGGCGTCACCTCTATCTGCCAGTCACGCCCTTCCCTATTCGCCCCCGGGAGTGTTAGCCGCTACACCAAGAGGAGGGTCGGACCGACGACGGCAGGCGCCTGGAGAGCTGGAGGGAGGCGGCCCGCCCCCACGAGACGCGCAGTCCCGCCCCCACGCCGGGCACCGCCCCATTCGAGCCTAGCACAAAGAGCCTGGGCGCACACTCCGCTGCCGCAGTCGACCACCCCCACCCGCCACGTGACCGCAGCGCATGCGCAAGCCGAGGCCCCGACAAAGGGAAGCGAGGCGCGTGGGCGGGGCCGTGGCGC